GCTACACTTAGCTGATAGCTTGGAAGATCCTCCTGTCCTGGAAACTTGCTTTCTGCTGTCAGATTTGCCGATGTGCTGTACTGGCGATATGCTGATGGATGCCATGATCATCTTACCCATTCCTCCTCAGCAAACCAGGCTGAAACCCACTCGATCTTCCTCTTTGGTGGCCTTCCTTGCCTTCTAAACGAGGCCGATAAGCCTGACATTAAGTCCCTGTTGGGGGGGAGGGAAGGACTATTTTGTCTGGGAATCAGGCGGTCGCATCCCGGCTTTGCGCCAGGCTGCCAGTGGCTTTATCTGTGCAAGTTCAGCAAGGTTAGGTTCTTCAGCTTCCCTTTTCAGCTTTCTCAGCTGTGAAGGTATGGTGTGAGGCTGAGCTTAGCTCATCGTGAAATATATTCCATGAAGCCTGGGAGTCAGGGGTGTTGCAGAAAGACAAAGTTGTTCAAGGAGGTAGGAAGGGATGGGGGATATTTATTCCACTATGCCATTTTCTTCCTGGGGGCATTAATGTGACACATGTCCTGAGTTTGTCCTGGTGACAAACAAGCTGTGGAAGAGCAGCTGAAGATGCCCGCGATCCCGGGAGGATGGCTTGTGGAGACAAAGAACAAGAGGAAGGGGCTGAGATTTGGGAGGGGCGGCCCGGACCTTGGCTCAGGAGACCAAGAGCTCCCATGTGCTGTGGTGCCACCAGGCGCTCCTGCTCCTGCTCCATCTCTGTTGCTTTGGTTTTGCCGCACAAGGGTTTCATCACAGGACCCATTACAGGTGAGGACATGTGTGAGAAGGTTGGGAACGACAAGCCTCCACTGCATGTCCCTGTTGCGGAAGGGCAAGTACTCAAGCGAGTGGTCACTCAGGAGATAAAGCCATCAAGGTGGGTTGGGAATGTCTACCTGGATGAGGAGCCCTTCAGGCTCTCAGCTGTGAGTTAGCCATGGAAGAAGATCTCTCACCACAAGAAACAACCTGTTGTTGGGTGTCTCGGGGTGGGGGCGGGGGGCGGGTTGTAACTCTAGGTTAGGGCTTACTCTCCCTGTGAGCAGCCTAACGAAGACCCATGTTTCAAAGAGGCTCTTTTTACCTGCATGATGCCCCACGTAGGGTGGGAGGCTGCAGTGCGGTGGGCCGCCTGGCTGAGGCGGGACAGGCAGGAAAATGTCTTGGGCGATGATTCCTTCCCTGAAAAGCCCTGCCTTGACAAGAGACAGAGAAATTGCCACAGCTGCTGCTCCTGGCAGCCTCGCCGAGGCAACAGAGCAGGCAAAGCGATTTAGCATCGCTCCAGTCATCCGTGATGGCAGAGATCATTGCATCAACCTCTTCAGCTTTGCGATTAATGCTGAAAAAGCATCCTCTGAGGGCTGGAAGGAGAGCGTTGGTCCCTGGAGACCTGCACTCTGAAGCAGAGGCAGCCCTCTCCAGCTGTTGTCCTCCTCTCCCGCAGTCTCATGCACGTCTGTTGACCCGCATGCTCCTGTAGTGATGGAGTTCCTGGGGACGGGGACAGGAACCCAGGACTGGTTCCTCAGGGGAGGAGAGACTATGTGGATTTACACGGATTTCTTGTCTTATAATGAAAATCCAGTGTTTGAGCTTTCCGAGTGGTTAAAACCAAAGTCCCCTTCAGAGAGCTTGTGTGTGGCAGTGATGGGGAAGGAGAAGGAGAGGAAGGGATGCGGTTGGGTTGGGTAGGAGGAAGAGTGTGAGAACATACAGTGGAGCTCCAGGAAGCTGGTGAGAACCGTCTCCCCAGCTGGCTTCGTTTACCTATGGCGGGTACAGGAGCAAGGCAGAACCTGGGGACATGGAAAGCACTGAGTTTTTAGGAAAATTAATTTTTTTAATGCAAAAGTTTGTTTCACTTCTGAAACTCTCTGCTCCGGGACTAATTACTACCAAATAACTGTGACACCGGGGGGGACCCAAGCCCCATGAATTGTGTGTGTTTGCACCATCTGCTCCTTATTCTGCAGGTGATGTTCCCATAGTTGGGGGCAGTAAAATATGTCCCTGAAAGCACACGGACTAACGCACCTGAGCGTGTCTGGGCTGGCAGCCTTGTCCGGGGCTTGTCCTTCCCCTACGCCGGAGGCTCTGCTGCCCGTGGCTACTTTTTGAAAGGTTTTATATCGCTGCCCGGCTCGTCTCTGAAGATGGGGGATGCTCCTGGATGTGCTGCAGGATTTCTCTTGCAGCTCAAGTGGGTGCTGGATGGGGAGGAGGTCTGGACTGCGTCTGTGCCTACAGCGAGGCAGGGCTGGAGCTTACTCCCTTTTGCTGGAGGACGGGGAGGAATCTCCGTCTCCATCCTGGGGAGGAGAAGAGTGTTCACAACTCACAGCAGCTTCCAGCAGTGAGCTGGGAGCCTGTGCCTGGTCCCCATCAGCCTTCTCGGGGCGCTGGGACCTCCCATACCCACCAACCCACCTGGGCTCGTTCCTTTGCCTCTTGGTTTGGCTGTGCCTGACAGCTGCCACTTTACAGCTCCCGCGGCTCTGCCGGGGTGGGAGCAGCTGGGTGGTTCGGCCCCAGGAAGCGCAGGCAGGCAGGCGGGCAAGGTGTAAATTGCATGGCTGGCTGCCTTCGCCAAGGTGAAAATGAAAAACTCTCCCAGCTATCGAGCCTGGCGTTTCGCGGCTCCCACGGTCCAAATGAGCTCCCTCTCACCGCTGCGGAGAGGATCTCGGGGGCTGATTTTCACCTGCCTGTCCCGAAGCCATGGCGCTGCCACATCGGCAGGGCGGTGTCCTGGTTGCAGGCAGGACAGGGGCCTGCTGCAGGAAGGGGGGAAGCGTGCTAGTGCGGAGAGCAGGGAGGGATGCTGATGGGTGCGGGAGGTGCTAATTGCCAGGCGCTGTATTTTGCTACCTGGAGGATTTGCTATCCTTTGGCAAGACTTTGTTTTCCACTGCTGTAGTGCTGGTGGTGCCACTTGTTTTTCCTGCTGGCTGATGGAAACGGCCTTTTCTTGATTGCAATAATATCACCTTCTGTTTCTGAAACACCTCGCAGCCCGGAGGATTTGAAAGTAAAGTGCACATGTGTGGGAACAGTCTCACCACTTCTGAAATGTGAGTTTCTCCAGGCTGGGAAGCAGTAGCTGTTTCGCAGCCCTCAGCAGCCTGGTGGTCACAGCTGTGCTGTGTGCTGGGGCTGGCTCTGAGTGCTGGCTGCGCCGGGAGGCAGGGCCTGCCAGCTCCACATGCACCCTGCTTGAGCTGCAAGCAGAGATGTTGGGGTTTCCTTGATGCTTGAGGTATTACTGGTGTAAAGCACGTCTGCCTGCCTCTCCCTCCAGCAGCTTGTCCTCTCTTCCGCCCAAGCCATCTCTCGGGCCGATGGTTCCTCCCCAGCCCCTGCCTGACTCCTGCCCCTCGGCGGGCAGCCCTGGGCACACAGGCTTCATCCCTGTCTCCCGTGGTCAGACTGCGGCTCGGCAGGGAGGACCAGAATCATAGAAGGGTTTGGGTTGGAAGGGACCTTCACAGATCACCCAGCCCACCCCCCCTGCCATGGGCAGGGAGATCTTTCACTACATCAGGTTGCTCAAAGCCCCGTCCAACCTGACCTTGAACACTTCCAGGGATGGGGCATCCACAGCTTCTCTGGGCAACCTGGTCCAGTGCCTCACCACCCTCATCACAAGACATTTCTTCTTATGTCCAATCTAAACCTGCCCTCTTTCTGTTTAAAACTGTTGCCCCTTGTCCTGTCATTACAGGGCCTGGTAAAAAGTCTCCATCTTTCTTTACATATTGAAAGGCCACAGTAAGGTCTCCCCAGAGCCTTCTCTTCTCTAGGCTGAACAATCCCAACTCCTCCAGTTTGTCAAGGTCCCTCTGGATGGCATCCCCTCCCTCAAGTGAATCAACCACAGCACTCAGCTTGGTGTCACCCGCAAACTTGCTGAGGGGACACTCAATCCTACTGTCTATGTTGTTGAAGATATTAAATAGTACTGGTCCCAGTACGGACTCTTGAGGGACACCACTCCTTACTGGTTTCCACCTGGACATTGAGTCATTGACTATAGAAGTGGGAAGTGGGGAACCTCTAGAGAGGGTGGTAGGCCCATGGAAGGGCCCTTTTACCTATGGATCCAGGCATGGAGAAGCAAAGAAGACATAAAGAAAAGGAATCCTCAGGGGAGCACTTTTCCTTCCCCAGGCTTGATGCCAGACACCACCTCCCCCTCCCGCTCGTGGTCTCCACCCCCCGTGTTCTCGCCACCCTACATTCAGTCCTTCCCCGTCCCTTTGGTGAGGCAGCGGGTGGCATGCGGGGTGGGAGCCTCTGGTCTCCTCCTGCCAATCCTTGCTTCTCACTCATCTTGCCCACCCCGGCACGGGCTCCTCTGTGGGCTGCAGTCCCTTTGGGGAAGTACCTGCCTTGGCAAAACCAAATCACTTTTTCTGCACCCAAGGGAGGACACGGGGCTCTCCCCTCACCTGCGCTGCCTCAGGCTGACGTGGCTGAGTGCGAGAGCTACACAGCCACCGATGCTCTGGCTCCAGCAGCATCGTCCCCTCCATGTGTCCAGCAGGAAGGGCAGCTCTGCCCCCTGCCCGCGCCACCCATCCCCACCGGCTGCGCAGCTGCTCCGGCCCGGGGATGTGCACCTCTTATAACAAGGCAGTTTGCAGGCAGGAGAAGGCAGCGATTGCTGCGAACCTTTCAAAACATGTTAAAATCCAATGTCCAGTCCTCCTCCCTGCCTGGTCCTCAGCCCTGCCTGTTTGGCAGGGACCCAAGAAAAGAGGTTTAACAGCAAAATGATGCAGGCTTTGACCCTTTCAAGACTGTTTTCTCTGTCCCAGAGCATGGCAGAGGGGGGCTGGCTGGAGGGGCAGCCGACGGCAGGGTCTCCCCTCCCCTGGGGACCGCCTGGCAGGCAGGCGGGCAGGCAGGCGCTGCCGCAGGGTGCATGTCCTACCCGGGGGCGTGACAGCTGTTTCCTCCGTCATTGCTGGCTGCTGCCTGCTGTTGCCTAGGGGAAAAAGTTTCGTTTCCACGCAGGCTACCCGCCTTGTCTGAAGGTTCCTCGGCAGGGAGTGGCCGTGCCTGGTGCTGGGCTCGTCCGCCTCGGGCAGCAGGAGCAGGTAGGACATGGCCGCTCCCTGCTCTGCTGCCCCCTTTGCTGCCCCCAGCGCCCCCTGCTCTGCTGAGACCAGGGTGGCACGGGAGATGAGGGGCTGCCCGAGCCCCCCACCCTGTGCCCAAATCAAAGCACCACGCCCTCTACCTGCGGGGTGCTGCACCCCTTCACTGGGCTTGGGGGGAATTTTTT